GCAGGGCGGAAGGGGCCAGGTGTGCTCTCCTGGCAGGGCGGAAGGGGCCAGGTGTGCTCTGCTGGCAGGGCGGAAGGGGCCAGGTGTGCTCTGCTCGCAGGGCGGAAGGGGCCAGGTGTGCTCTGCTCGCAGGGCGGAAGGGGCCAGGTGTGCTCTGCTCGCAGGGCGGAAGGGGCCAGGTGTGCTCTGCCTCCGGCAGCCCGGGCCACGCCCACGAGCCAGAGATTGGGCAGGGCGCCCTCGGGAGTGCGGCCTGAGGCCCTGGTGTCCAGAGGCACGGAGGGCGGCCCACCTGCCGTCACTCCCCCGGGAGCAGCGTCCTGGCTCTGGCGTGGCCGGGCCCCGTGCTGCCACTGTCTCCTGGCTCCCGAGGGTGAGCGTGACCGTTCTCTCCCTTAGGATTCCAAGTGGGTGGAGGAGAAGCAGCTGCTGGTCAGGACAAACCAGGACTTGCTGGAGAAGGTAGGCGACGCCCCCGAGCCGGCCCCCCAGGTCGGCTGCACTGGCTCCTGCACCCCTCCAGCGCCCAGCCCCTGGCCCTGGCCCTGCCCCCTGCCCGGGCTGGGAGTGGGCAGTGCTGGGAGCTCCTGCAGGTGGCGGTCCCAGGCTCCTCCCCAGGGGTCAGGGAGGAGCCCAGTGCCTCTATCCCCCCCCCCCAACCTGCTCATGGCGCTCTCCAGCGTTCTCTCAGGGAGCTGTGTGGGAAATGGACCCATTTTAGCTTTTTCTTTCTTGAGTACACACAGTGACTGGGATTTGTGTGTGCGGCCGTTCACCGAGTTGGGGCGGCCTCCCCGCGGCGGCGTCAGGGCTTCCTCTGCCTGGCGCGGCGCCCACGGCCGGTCACTCCCCCGCCCCGCCCTCTCTGCCTGCGAATTTGCCAGCCGCACCGACCAGTGGGGACTCACCGGGGCTCTGCCCAGGGAGCCCGGCCGGCCCCTCCTGCCTGAGCAGGCCGCCGGGGCTGCACATCGGAGCTCCTGCCGCACCCTGCGTGTGGGCCTTCCAGGCGCTCGTCCCCCGGGCTGCAGCTGGGGCGAGGCCATGCCTGTTTCCCCAGGCGGGGAGGGGCGGCCCCAGCCGGTGGGGAGCACTCTCTGACTGGGAGGGAGGGGCGGCACGGTGCCGGCCCAGGGCGCCCCCCCAGTGGTCTCCGTGAGCCCCAGGGGCTGCTGCCCCGGCCGGGGTCTGGTACCAGAGCAGCCCTGTTGCCCAGGCCCCGGCCTGGGCCGCCTTGCAGGTGGCTTGGTGCTTCAGGACAACAGTGCCCCTCGACGCCCTTGGGGAGCCCTCCCGGGGGGTCGGGGGCCCGGCTTCCTCCCCGGGCTGGGGCTTTGTGGGGGCCACGTCGGCAGCCTCGGGGGTCAGAAGCACCGAGTTATGCCCTGTTTCCTCCCGGTTGCCTCAGGGGAGGGACAGACTGGCGCCATGCCTCGGTTTCCCCATCACTGGCCCAGCGCGTATGCACGAGGAGCCCCGGCTCGGGCCAGGCCCGGCTGACCGCGGCGGGCAGGTCTGCAGCGCGGCCGGGGCCTGGCTTGCTGCCCCGCGGCCACCCGGCCAGTCCCCGGGCCGCAGGAGGGGTCCCGTCCAAGACTGGCTCCGGGAGACACTAGCCGCGGGTGTTTGTGCTCTAGATTTACAGGCTGGAGATGGAAGAGAGCCAGCTGAAGAACGAAATGCAAGACGCCAAGGACCAGAACGACCTGTTAGAGTTCCGGGTGCTAGAGCTGGAAGTAAGAGACTCTCTGTGTTGTGGGCTCCCAAGCGGAGCAGACATTCTCTTTGAGCCCAAACTGAAGCTCGTGTGAAGCCCCTGTTTGCAAGCATGTGTAAGGGGGGCGTGCCAGGGTGGTCTCTTTTTTCTTTTTTTAAATCTGTATGTTCAGAATAATTTCACTGCCTTAATATGTTCTGGAGAGAATGCTCACCAAGTCTTTGGACATGTACCAGAGCTAATATATTTATTGCCTACGGCTTGTTTTGCACTTAATAAAATAATTTGTTTTTGCAATAGTTTGCCTTTTCGATTTGTGTTTCCTTTCCGTAACTGCTCCTTTCCTGCATGCACGGTCACCGGTACGGCTCCCGCACCCTGGGCGGAAGCCACGCACCGCACCCCTTTTTACGTGACCTTGCATGCAGTGAACCTCACTTTTGGAAGCGCAGGGCCTGACCCAGCCCGTAACTGACTCTGTAGTGTGTTGACTGATGGTTTCGCTCCCTTTCTCTTTGCCCAGGTGGACACACGGTAAGTGCAGGCAGGGCGGAGGTGGGATCTGCCTAGGTGACTTAGCAGCTAGCCCCGGCCTCCAGCAGACGCGGCCCTCGGACCGCGACCTCGCAGATCACGCTGGAAGCGCAAACCCTGCTTGGGCCTGGAGGGAGGAGCCCGGCTGCGGCCCCGGGCACCCTGCCCTGAGCCCCGGGCGCCTCTCGTGCGGGGGACCAGCGCCGGGACGCGGGGGCTTCCCTGCTCCCGCAGACCTTCCCCGGGGCTGCCCGTGGCCTCCTGCCGGCCACTTGCTGACCCGTTGGCCTCTCGGTCTCCCGTTTAAAAACCGTCCACACCTTCAGCGTCACCTGTGCGGGGCTCGGCCCCCCGAGCCTCCGTGACACAGCCTGCTCCCCCGCAGATGGCCCCTCGCACGCACCCTCAGAGCGAGCGCCCTCGCGGCACCGTGAGGGTGCAGCCCAGCGCCGGCTGGGGC